CAGGTAGCAATCCGCTACCTCGACCTCCGGGGCGAGAAAGCCCCGTTCGTAAGTGCGGATCCGACGTAAGTTGGATCCGCGTAAGTCGGGGACTGCCTGTATTTAACTACATGTAAGGGGTCATAGTGGATAACTTGTGGTCAGAGTGGACCACAAGCTAAATATGAGTTAACAGTGTGACACTGTTGCAAAAAAGCAAACATGATTCTGGGATGCATTTATAGGAGTGTTGTGAGCAAGACACAAGAAGTCATTTTTACGCTTTACTCAGTGCTGATTAGGCCTCAGTTGGAATATTGTGTCCAGTTCTGGGCACCACATTTCAAGAAAGATGTGGAGAAACTGGAGACGGTCCAGAGAAGAGCAACAAAAATGATTAAAGGTCTAGAAAATATGACCTGTGAAGGAAGTCTGAAAGAATTGGGCTTGTTTAGTTTAGAAAAGAGAAGACTGAGAAGGGGACATGATAGCTGTTTTCAGGTATCTATATATTTTTTTCCCACTATAAATCATGGCTTTGCCATGCCTGGTAGGATGTTGGTTCAACACTTGGAAGCTAGTGGTAACGATCCTAACTTAAACTTGAGCCGATGCAAGCCATGGGCACATGGCATGGCTGAAACACAAGGAGGATGTTCTAAACTATGAGTTGGCTGGTCAACTTAATGTGTTGGTATTGGAGTTGTAGGGGAGGAGGGCTTACTCTCCAGTGGGATTAGCATGTCACTAAAGCAGGGCTTTTGATAAAAAGAAACCAGTTTTAGATTTTAATCGTGTTTTTAGGATTTCTAAAGTTGTACAGTTTTACAAAGACCAGTAGTGTTAATGTTGGTATGCCCTGACATGCAAACTGCCTGCCACCTTGCCTGCCACCTAGCCAGGACTAATGAGGGGGCTTTGTGCTCCCCCAGGTTGCCCCTAAGTTCTCCTTGGGGGCAAATGTAGGTTCAAATGTTCCAGGATTTTGGCTGGTTCCGATGTTGGCTGTTGCATTTGGACTTATGAATAGGTTTTTTTTAATAACAACAAAACTTCCTTAATTAAAAAAAACAACAGCTGAGTGATTGGGCAACAAAATGGCAAATGAAATTGAATGTAGATAAGTGTAAAGTAATGCATATTGGAAAAAATAACCCCAACTATACATACAGTTTGATGGGGGCTAATTTGGCTATGAGAAATCAGGAAAGAGATCTTGTAGTTATCATGGATAGTTCTCTGAAAACTTCCTCACAGTGTACAGTGGTGGTCAAAAAGGCAAATAGAATGCTAGGAATTATTATGAAAGGGATAGAAAATAAGACACAGAATATCTTACTGCCCCTGTATAAGACTATGGTACGCCCACATCTTGAATACTGTGTGCAGATGTGGTCTCCTCACCTCAAAAAAGATATTTTGGCCTTGGAAAGGGTTCACAAAAAGCAACTAAAATGAGTAGGGGTTTGGAACAGGTTCCATATGAAGAGAGGCTAAAGGGACTGGTACTTTTCAGTTTACAAAAGAGGAGGCTGAGCGGGGATATGATAGAGGTATATAAAATCATCAGTGGTGTGGAGAGGATGAATAAAGGAAAGTTATTTATTAGTTCCCATAATAGAAGAACTAAGGACACCAAATGAAATTAATGGGAAGCAGGTTTAAAACTAATAAAAGAAAGTTCTTCTTCACACAGCGCATAGTCAACCTGTGGAACTCCTTGCCAGAGGAGGCTGTGAAGGGTAGGACTATAACAGAGTTTAAAGAGAAGCTAAATAATTTCATGGAGGTTTGGTGCATAAAAGGCTATTAGCCAGGTGATAGAAATGGTGTCCCTGGCCTCTGTTTGTCAGAGGCGAGAGATGGATGGCACGAGACAAATCGCTTGATCATTGCCTTCGTCCACCCCCTCTGGGGCACCTGGTGCTGGCCACTGTTGGCAAACAGGCTACTGGGCTAGATGGACCTGTGGTCTGACCCAGTATGGCTGTTCTTATGTTTTTAGTATCTAAACGTGTGTCACAAGGAGGAGGGAGACAAATTGTTCTCCTTGGCCTCTCATGATAGGACAAGAAGCAATGGGTTTAAATTTGCTGCAAGGGAGGTTTAGGTTGGAAGTTAGGAAAAACTTCCTGTCTGGGTGATAAAATACTGGAATAATTGCCTAGGGAGTTTGTGGAATCTCCATCTCTGGAGATATTTAAGAGCAGGTTGGATAAATGTATATAAGGGATGATCTAGATTGCTTGGTCCTGCTGTGAGAGCAGGGGATTGGACTTGATGACCTCCCGAGATCCCTTCCAGTTCTAGCATTCTATGATTCTATGTGTTTACATCTAGGTTAGAAATTATTTGATAA